GTTCTAAACGGTTCTGGTCCGATTCCATTGGTTCTGGGAAAAAATGCCCACTCCTACAGCTAATAATTTCTTGATTTTCCATTTTGAAAATGGATTGCATTAAATACTTGTGTTGGCTAATGACTTGTTTATTCTCTCTTTTGTGCAGGTTCGAAGCTAATATCTATATTTCCTTTTGAGATGTGGAAGCACAAAGTAAAACGGTGTTTTTACAGTATGAAGTTTGACTGAGAAAGGCGTGTTCCACCTCTCCTAAACTTGTATTTTGATGACACTATTAAACAAGGTGAAGTGGCAGCATGAAATGGGAGGAAAATATAATGTCTGAAGAAAATATCAGCGGACAGATTACAGGAAGAACTGTCACAGTTGTCTAATCAGTTTGTTAATCTTGTAAAGTTAGAAAACTCTAGCATCACATCATTCTTTTTTCCCCTATATGAAATATTGTTTGCATCATTCTATGATCTTCTGTGACACCCAAGAGAGAGAATTCCATTTGAAACAATATCGCTATGGGAAAAGGCATCTAGAGCACAAAACTAGTGCAAGAATGTATTCCCTAATCATTTTTATTTTCATTAAATTTTTTCTTTGTGGACATCTAGTATGATCAAACGTACAATTTGCCTGTTTCATATTCCAATAATTAAGAGTAAGGGATTAAGTACATCCTTTGCCATTTCGAATTCAGATATGGTGCACAAGGACGAGAATTATTTTATTTTTTATTTTAACTACCTTATTGACGTTTATCATACTCAAATATGCAATAGAATGTTTTAGGCACCAAATTCCCATAGTATGCATCCATTCATGTGAAATAGTTATTTAAGCTGACCAAAATGTAAATAAAATAAAACAGAATACTATTAAATTACATTAACGATGACAATTGACAAGCAATGGATGCAAAAACAAGGGCAAACAACAAAACATGCCCACTTGGAATAATAAACTATAATCAAATAAATAAAGAACAATCAAAATTGCTCTCAAATATTTATAGTTTCAAAGAATCCATCACTTTCACCAGCAGTATTAACTGTCAGATATACCCTCCCCGATTTCAGGTACACATCAGATTTTATTTAGCAAGTCTTTGGCACTAACGAAAAAGCATAACATAAAATTGTTAAGCACCTTGGGAGAAAAACTTGTGTTATCATATTGGCCCTGTTAAACAATTTATTCTCCAATTTTCATTAGCAGTCGAAGTTAAATGGGAAAGTGCAAACATAAATTAACCAAAACATGAAAATTGGGACGAAGAAAGTACATTGAGCTATACAAGGAATACATTCACATCAATCAAAAAAGTATGTAAAGAGAGAACTCAAGTATTATCGAAGGGTAACAAGAACAAGCATGTAAGTAATTAAGCTTAAATAGACACTAGGCAGACTTACAGACTTGAAAATTAGAAGCTCGAAATCTTCGGCGGACATTCTTATCATCCAGCACCTGAATTTCAAAAGTGAAGTACTTCTTCATATTTTTCACAATCAGGACTAAGAACGGTAGCTTTATACCAAGTGTTGCATTTGGATCGGCTGGACATGTAATAAAAGTTGACTGGACATTTGACCCAACTATTTCGAGAACATTAGATTGTATGTCTTCATCTGGCAATCGTTTGATGTGGCCATTGACAACTGCAAGAGATTTTTTGAGCACACAATTGTGTAAAGATGTCAGAGCGCACAAGACGTGCAGATATGCACATATAAATTATAAAAACAAGTTGCTAAAGAGAAAGCCGTTACATGTAAAGAGACAAAACTGATGTACTCTTTTCTATATCCATGAAATAAAAGTCTAATCGTTGAAAACGGTAAGCAGGCCGATGATGGAGTGTGTTGCCCCCACTTTACAGTTGTGTTTTATTACAGTAAAACCATTTGTCTGGTAAAAGTAGGAGTATAAAAGAAAACCATATCTTGCAAGCAGTGTGTAAAAGGATCAATTAATTCTCAGAAAAGGATACTCATTTGAACCACATCTCTAATAATGGCTTTTGGCTGTTAGCAACTATCTGTTTCAAATTTCTCAATTCAAGGAAAAATTTAGGAACAAGTAGAATTTTCGGATGTTGAAGCACAGTAACCAACTAAAGGAAATCAGATCCTCATCATTTGGGGCAAAATATGGCAATGGCACATGAATGGCCATTGGCCAACAATATGGACTTACACCCCAACTATGTCCTCAACAATTCAATGCAAAATTTTTAAAATAATACAATTTTAGAGATTGGGTAAGGGAATAACACAGACTACTAGTGCTTGATAACTGTGCTATACAGAACACAAGCTTTCCATTGGTTCAATCAAAGACTAGGCACTTCTGAAGGATTTCATTATACAAGTGATTATTTTCTAACTTATTGTATGATTAAAGATGAGGTCTACAAGATCTCCACTTAAGGCTACTTTTAGGGCGTCATGATATTCGGGTGCTCTCTGATTGCTCAAGACATCTCTTTTCGACTGAGGACAAAAACAAGATCATAGTTGTAGATGCTCTATTTCTTCTCTTCCTCCTGTCTGAGTTACCTCTCATGAAACTCTTCACCTGGAAAATCCCCCTTGGAATACCTTATAGAGCTGGGCAGTCAAGATATCCAATCAACATATCTTGAAATACTGAAGCTCGTGAAGCAAATCAACCGAAAGAGAATGCTAAACCTGACCTTCGTTCAATAGTTAGTTCTTTTCTCTACAGTATGATATAAGTATAGTATGGTAGACTTATAATTTATAACCAATCCAATTGAAACCAAGACAACGTATCTTACTAAACTAAAAAAGGGTTAAGGGCCTCTGCTAGCCGGGGTTGTGGATGAGAGGAACTTACCCAGTAATTATAGGGCTTCTGCAGCGACTTTCTATTCTTTTACTTGTAATAAGATTCCTAACGCTCATCGTTTCTGCTAGGGATCATAAGAAACCTCATACTTATAAATTTAATGTAAGGATAATGGTTTGAGTTCATTTACACTTTGATACTGTATACCTTGTCTATTTCACTAATTCTTCTAGATTATTAAAAAAACATCTGGTATTATGAGTAGACTTTTTCTTTTCTTCTGTCAACATTTTCCTATTGCTCACTATTATTAGCACTCCGTGAAATTGTTTTTCAACATAAGCAAAATCCACAACCACACCCCCCCCCCCCCCCCCCCC